AGCGGGCACAGGGCTCTCCTGAACCCCAAACCCTCACATGAGCGGGCACAGGGCTCTCCTGAACCCCAAACCCTCACAGGAGCGGGCACGGGGCTCTCCTGAACCCCAAACCCTCACAGGAGCGGGCACAGGAGCTTTACTGAACCCCCAAACCCTCCCAGCTCTGGGGTACGTGGGGCCCCCCAGCACTGATACAGGGCGAGGGGCTCAAGCTGAGCTCAAGCTGGGCTCAAGCTGGGCTCAAACTGCTCATTCTGGGCACAAGCTGGGCTCAAGCTGGGCTCAAGCTGGGCTCAATTCAGGCTCAAGCCGGACTCAAACTGGGCACAAGCCAGGCACAAGCCGGGCTCAAGCCAGGCACAAGCCGGGCACAAGCCGGGCTCAATCTGGGCTCAAGCCGTGCTCAAGCCGTGCTCAAGCCGTGCTCAAGCCGTGCTCCAGCCGTGCTCCAGCCGTGCTCAAGCCGTGCTCCAGCCGTGCTCAAGCCGTGCTCCAGCCGTGCTCCAGCCGTGCTCAAGCCGTGCTCAAGCCGTGCCGGCTGCAGCGGGCAGTGCCCGTCCTGTGCCCGGCTCCGCTCCTGGCCCAGAGGGAGGCCGGGCTCAGCCCGGCGCTCCTGGGTCCCCTCTCGCCCCGGGGCCACTCACCTTGTGCTTGTCCATGAGGTCCCCGACCAGGTCGCGGTCCCCCCCGACGGGCGCGTCCTCGCTGAGCTGCGGCTCGGCGCGGTACAGCCAGTCCATCAGCGCCTGCAGCGCGTCCGTGAACTTCCCCGAGAACAGCAGGTTCTCCTCCAGCTTGTGCTGCCTGCCGGGGGCACGGGACATGCTGCGGGGGCACCCGGCTGCTGGGGGGCACCCCATGGAGCCGCCCCGCAGAGCTGCAGTGCCCACAGGGACAGGGACAGGTCCTGGCAGCGGCATTATGGACAGGGACAGGTCCTGGCAGTGCCGTTATGGACAGGGACAGGTCCTGGCAGTGTCTCTATGGACAGGGACAGGTCCTGGCAGTGTCTCTATGGACAGGGATGGTGCCCAGCTGCACCCCAAGGGCAGAGCCCAGCAATGCTGGGAATGGGCTCCTGGAGCAGGATGCTCAGGGGGGAAGAGCAGTTCCTTGTGCCTGCCTGGGGCTCACACAGCAAGCAGATCATGCCATCCCATCCCCATTTCCATCCCTATTCCCATCCCAACCCCATCCCGTCCCACCACACCTCATCCCTATTCCCATCCCCATCCCCATCCCATCCCATCCCATCCCATCCCATCCCATCCCATCCCATCCCATCCCATCCCCATCCCCATCCCCATCCCC